CTCAGACCCTTACTGCTCTGAGAAACAGTGCGTAACTAGATCAGGTAGTCAAAGTCAAAGTGACCATTATCAACTTTGATAAATGTGGCCCCTATAGGCCTGTCTAGACTGGGCCCTCAAGGAAGGAGGAGGGGGAGGGAGAAGAAAGATCAAAAAACAACTGGATACCTCAAAGGGACCTCGATTCCCATTCTACCAGGAGATCAGGCAATACCTAGGTAATGACCCTAAGTGGGACCCTGAAATTCCTGGAGAGGATAGGGCTCATGTTCCTTTTAGAGTGAGTGAACTTAAAGAAATAAAAAAAGATTTAGGAAATTACACAGAAAACCCAGATCAGTACATCCAGGCATTCAGAGAAGTCAGCCAAAACTTTGAACTGAGCTGGAAAGATGTAATACTGTTGCTATCTCAGACCCTTACTGCTCTGGAGAAACAGTGCGTACTAGATCAGGTAGTCAAAGTCAAAGTGACCATTATCACTTTGATAAATGTGGCCCTATAGGCCTGTCTCAGACTGGGCCCTCACAGGAGGAGGAGGGGGAGGGAGAAGAAAGACAAAAACACTGGATACCTAAAAGGGAACCTCGATTCCCAATTCTACCAGGAGATCAGGCAATACCTAGGTATGACCCTAAGTGGGACCCTGAAAATGACAAGTATGAATGGAGCTGTAACCATTTCATCCACTGCATTCTTGAGGGTCTAAGGAGAGCCAAAGTAAAACCTCTTAATTATTCCCAAGTCACGGCAGTATAGCAAGGTCCTACAGAGACTTAAAAAGCATACCAACATTGTACCTAAACTAAACACAGTTCAGCACAAGATATCTGTAAAAAGCTTCAAAAACTGGTGGCTAAAGGGAGCAGAGATCTAGACCAATTGGACAGTCTAGCCACATCCATACACTATAATAGGGACTTAAAAAAAGAAAAGGACCTGAAGAAGCAAAAAAGAAATAACAAACAGCAGGAGGTTCTGATCGCAGTGCTCAGACAGGCTTCCCTGGGACAAAGTCCAAACCCCTCTCCCCGACTCAGGTCCTCCAAGAAAATTACTGTTTGGGATATATCAGGCCAGCCTCTAGAGCGTTATTTCACTCAGCCTTTAGCCTGCTCCTGGGGAGATTTCCATTTCTGTCACTCCTTTTTAATTGTCCCAGAAACCACTACTCCTCTGCTAGGGCGAGACCTTCTATCTAAACTGGGGGTACAGCTCCTTTTACCCCCAGGAGAGTACTTTTGCTTGCCCATGATAGAGGAACAAGTAGACACCACAGTGTGGATGGTTGGACACACTGTGGGACGGGCACAAACAGCTGCCCCAGTCCTAATTGATCTCAAGGACCCCTCCTGGTTCCCCCATCAAAAACAGTATCCTTTAAAGCCAGAAGTTAAGGAGGGGCTAACTCCCATAATCAAAGACTTAAAGAGACAAGGACTGCTAAGAGACTGCTGCATCCCATATAATACTCCTATCCTTGGTGTCAGGAAGGGACCTAACAAATGGAGGCTAGTCCAAGATCTCCACCTGATCTATGATGCAGTAGTGCCTCTCCACCCTGTAGTTCCAAATCCCTATGCGCTTTTAGCCCAAGCACCTCCAGGTATTGCTTACTACTCTGTCCTGGACTTAAAGGATGCCTTCTTTTCGCATTCCCTTATACCCTAAAAGTCAACCTATCTTTGCCTTTGAGGACCCCACAAAGAAGTCTGGACAGGTCACCTGGACTGTCCTCCCCCACGGATTCAGAGACAGCCCCCATCTCTTTGGGTTAGCTCTAACCCAAGACTTGGCAGAGTGGTAATATACACAAGCTACTCTGCTACAGTATGTAGATGACCTCCTGCTCTGTGGACTGAGCCCGTCATTTCACGAGCCACTGAGTCCTTACGAAACTTCTTAGCAGATAGAGGTTATAAAATCTCTAAAGAAAAAACCCAATTGTGTCAGTCTAGGGTTACATATTTAGGTCTTGTCCTAGAGAAAGAAATGAGGGCTCGAGGAGAAGACAGAATCCATCCAATCCTAGTATTTCCCTTACCCAAAATTCTAAAGCAATTGAGAGCTTTTTGGGGGTCACAGGATACTGTAGAATATGGATCCTGGGTTATGCAGACCTAGCCAGGCCCTTATATCAAATCCTTAAGGAAGCACAGAAGGGTCCCCAGTCCTTTATTGAATGGGATGACAAATGAGAAAATGCATTCCACTGGTTAAAAAAGGCCCTTATGACAGCTCCAGTCTGGGTCTCCCAGTACAAGACAAGTTTCAATTATATGTCTATGAAAAGGGAGGACTGGCCTTGGGAGTGGTGACTCAGCTTTGGGGCATCATTCCACAGCCGGTAGGATACTTAAGCAAAGAATTAGATCAGATAGCCAAGGGAAGGCCAGGATGTCTTAGAGCAGTGGCTGTAGCAAGCCTTCTAGTGCCTGAAGCTCAAAAACTTATCCTAAACCACCCCCTAAAGGTTTATATCCCACATGACCTAGGGGGAGTTTTAAACTCAAAAGGAGAACTTTGGCTATCTGACAGCCACCTACTTAAATACCAGGCCCAACTTCTGGGAGGGACAAAAATAACTTTCAGGACCTGTCAGAGCTTAAATCCTGCATCCCTTCTACCAAAGGCAGTGGGAAATCCTGAACAGTCAGGTACTTGTGGAAAATTATGCTCCCCAACCTGACTTAACTGATCAGCCCTTACAAAACCCAGATCTAGAATTATACACTGATGGCAATTCCTTTGTCAAAAATGGTGTCAAACATGTAGGGTTTGCAGTTGTAACAAAATTTGGCATCCTCAAATCAGGTCCTCTTCCTCCTAATACAAGTACTTCCTCCTAATACAAATACTGACAGAATTAGCAGCGCTAACAAAAGCCCTAAGACTGTCAAAAGAACAGAGAGTCAATATCTATACAGATTCCTCATCCTGCATGCTCATGCAGCCATTTGGAAGAAAAGAAGAATGCTAACTGCAACAGGAACAGCTTCCCATAAAGATAAAAGAGAACTTACTTTAATAGTTTTAGGGATAATAGCATCAGTTACAGCCCTAGCTGGAATCAGCTATGGGGTGACTGCCAATCATGTAACTGCAAAAAAAAAAACCTAACCAAAGTAGCAGAGGACACCTCAGACCAGGTAGGCCTTCTTTGTTGTCCCTTGCCTGTATGGTCATGGACCACTACCTGGCCCTATATTTTCTTTTGGCTAAACAAGGGGGGTATGTACCATTGCCAATACCTCCTGTTGCACATATACAAACACTTCAGGCATTGTAGAGGAATGTGCGGATTACATTCTCTAACAGGCTAAGTGGCTCTGGGAGCAATCTCTTGAAACTCAGGTTTCTACACAGGTATGGGACCAATTAAAATGCTGGCTCCCCTCCAGGACTTGGTTCCTACCCTTTCTGGGGCTTGTAGTTACCATTATTCTCTTGCTTGTGTCTGGGCCTTGCATTTTAAACTTACTTGTCAAGTTTGTTTCTTCTCACCTAGAATTCATCAAACTACAAATGCCCCTGATGGAGATGAAAACAACCTACTATCTCGATCCCCTCTAATTCCGATCTCATGGTCAGCCCTGATGCTGTGGGCCTCTTCATCACCCTCTGTCAGCAGGAAGCAGTTACTGAACAGACTTTGTCGTCTTTATTCCTAACAGCATTTAGAGTTACCACTGAGAGGGGGGACTGAATGACAGACTGCAGAAAGTCCCAAAAGGTGATAAGACACCTCTCCTTCCCAGGAAACCTCTGTCTACACCTGAGAGACAGCTCTGCCCTCAGGCAATGCAAAAAGGCTATAAAAACCCAATCTCCAACATGACCCACCGGTTTTTGGGTCCCCCCTGCATTCCCCACTATGCAGTCCTTCTCTTCTCTTCTCTACAAATAAAATCTTTCCAACCTCTCCTGCTGGAGTCTGCCTGTGCTTTCATTCTCAGAGCAGGCTCATGTCATCAGTGCATCAACATATTGCTTTAGGCTCCTGTGATGCAAAGATGATCCAAGATGGGAGAAGGAAAAGCCCATACAAAGTGAAAGCTAAATCACAACTTTTATTAATACTGAGTCCAGGAAACCAGAACTATTAAGAGTGTGGTGACTTAGACTTAGACTCAACAATACCAAAAGTCAAAACTTTCAGAAGTCAAAGTTTCATTTCAATTTGGTACACACCTGGACAGTACCTACAGGACCCTGTATCACAGACATAAAACAACATCAATGACTTTGGAAAGTCAGCTCTATCAACTCCTGACTCCTGAGCTGTACCATCCTCCCACTTCAATAGCACCTTCTGGACATATCTCCCAGGAAAGGGTTTTCCAGAACCTTCTAAAGTGGGCCATTTTAGGATTTTACAATTACTAACAGAAAAATCTTCCTTAAATGTAACCCAAATTTTTTCTCATTTGAATTATCATCATTTTCTACTTACATTACCATCAATGGAAATGGGCAAAAGTTGGTCTTCTCCCCGACCCCCACCCACCCCCATTTTTTCTTTCGCAGTACTAGGGATTGACTTCAGGGCCTCAAGCTTGCTAGACAGTAGCTATCTAGCTCTTTTGCCTTAGGTTTGTTACTTTATTTATTTTGGTGGTATTGAGGTTTGAACTCAAAGGCCTCACTCTTGCTAGGCAGGCACTCTACCACTTGAGCCACTCCACCAATCTTGCTTTAGCTACTTTTCAGGTAACATCTCACGTTTTTGCCCAGGGCTGACCGTAGACCATGATTCTCCTACCTACAGCCTCCCACAGAGCTGGGGTGCCAGGCATGCACCACCACACCTAGCTTACTAACTGAGATGAGAATCTCACTAACTTTCTGTCCAGGCTAGCCTCGAACCTTGATCAAATGTCCACCTCCCACGTAACTGATTACAGATGGGAGCCACCACACCTGGCCAGGTCTTCATTTTCAAACAGAAAGGCAATAATGACTTTCCCTTCCCTCAGTGAAATTCTGTTAAGATGCCATACCCATTATGCCGGGCCAGGCCAGCTCTTCATGATCATCCCGTTCCTTTTCTGGTGCCAGGTGGTTGAAACGATCCAGGTGTTCCAATAGGCCACCCAGCAAAGGAACTGCTCCAGTCTCTTGCATGAGACCAGCATTTTTACTGAGCAGAAGCACTATAGAAACTACTAGCTCTGGAAGAAGAACACCTACATTTAAAAAGATAAAAAAGCATTAAGACTTAAAAATGTTGATCATATGAAAGTACTTTATAACCTTGACATATGTTTAAATTCTGAGTCACAAAATAAGGAATGTTTGTCCTTTAGCATGTTTCTACAGCACTTTGTTTTGAAAGAGGTATAGCTATGAAACAGAAGCTTCTGAGTTACAAAAATATTTTTTTAAAACACTGTTTCAAACAAAGAACTATGAACTGCAGAATCTTTTATTCAGCAAAGTATATGTTTACCTCTATGTTTACTACCAGAAAAACAAGCATTAAAAAATTATGCTCTAATCTCACAAAATTAATCTTAAAAAATATAATATTGTAATGTATTATGGTTCTAGGAGAGAACCTTTTCATGCTGTGGAAACAAAAGTAAGCAATTACCATTGATCCCATTACTAAAGTGCTAATGTTGCTAGCGTAAATCTAAAGCACCAATTAATTACATTTACAATGATATGATTCCTATACCAGGTAGCTTAACAACAGAATTACTACAATGCAGCTTAACAACATAACTGCTAGAAAGGAGCTTAAAAGAATTGTCAGAGGATGGAAGATTAGGAGAGGAGAGAAGGGGAGAGGAGGGGAGGGGAGGGGAGGGGAGGGGAGAAAAGGCAAGAGGATCAGAAAATTTATGCAGCAAATTCAGGAAGTTATATTACAAAAGGACACATTTTAGGTTTCATCAATCTTCTAAAATTAACACATGTCCACAGTCAGAAAACAAGAAAGGTACCAGTGAAATCCCCTTCCACGATGCAGGCCACCTCTGCAAAATGCCGCCAGCTGGTAGAAGCAATACTAGCTGCCACAGGCAGTATATCTCCAATGTGTGTGCACAAAAGGGCTGTATACTTTTTCAGTAAGGACCCAACACCCATTAGCTCAGGACCTTAAAGGAAGATTTAGAAAATTTCATTTTAACTATTAAAACTTCACAAACTGAACTGCTCCACTATTACACTCCCAAATACGCAAATTTTACCTATTTTCCCAGAGAGGAACCTATTGAACCCTCAGTCCTTGGCTCTTTTTATATAATGCAACTTGAAGGACAGTGAGTTTGATTATGTTGAATTTTATACTCTGTATCACATAGCACCTAGAAGTTTGGGTCTATAAATACTAAAGCCATACCTTAGAGATTTTTAAACCTTTATGACCAGTATACGAATGTTTGTTTTCTTAAAGACTGTTAAATTACATTACTGCCGATGAATAAAGCTAGGGATTTTTCAGTCTCATAAAAATCATCAAATCACTGTCTGCATGGTTCTTTTTTTTCTTTTTTTTTTTTTTCTTTTTGGCAGTACTGAGGTTTGAACTCAGGGCCTCATGCATCCTAGGCAGGTACTCTACTGCATGAGCCACTCCAACAGCCCTTATATTTGTGTTGGGTATTTTTGAGATAGGGTCTCACTAACAATTTGCTGAAGATAGCTTCAAACAGTGATCCTCCTCTTCTCTACTGCCTGAGTAGCTAGGATTACAGGCGTGAGCCACCAGCACCTGACCCTACATAGTTCTTAATAGCTTTTAATTCCTTGTGACTTTATGCCCTCAGGGTGGTCACCTCTTTCAGACTATAAATGTGTCCATTTAAACCTAAAGGTTCCATCATCAATAAGTGACTAACTCCTTTCAGGAAGTAAGTAAGCTATTTTAGAGAAAAGCAGCTATAAAAATATTAACAGAAGGAGCAAAGCTCTACATCCTTGGTAGAGAACACTGTATTAGGGAGAGCCAGCCTTCCCTTAGGTGCTTTTAGAAAAGCACCATTCATTCGCTCTATATCATGTGCATCACAGAGCATTTACACATTACTATGTTTGAATCCTCATAAGTACACTAAGGGATTATCCCAATTCTGCAGGTGAGAAATCTTTAACACTGGAAAACTTAATCCAATGTCTAATAGCTAGTAACCAGTGCTATAATTAAAATCAAATCTTCCTTCCATTTTACCCACCTGGCTTGCTATGTGACAGGAATAACCTATCACTGTTTAATTCCCATGTCCTGTCAGTCATCAACATTCCATAGCTAATATGTGGAACAAATCCAACAAATTTTCTGTAAGACTAATTGAACATAAGGAATCTATTTCTAATGTCTAAGAATTTAAATGTTGAGGCAATGAAATTAAAAATATTAAGTCTAATATAAAAATATTTGATCAAGAAAATGGATTCAAAATTGGTGCATTTAATAATATGAGAACTACACACCCGGGCAAAAATAATAGGCACGTCAAGAAACCCAAATTAAAATGCCCAAAACATACACAAAATACTTTCACATTTTAAGCAACTTACTGGGAGTATCTGAAGTATGACCAACACTTTCTCCTGGATACAGTTTACTGATCAATAGGCGCTGAAAACGTAGTAACAGATCTAATGAAGCAGACCTCTCACGGCTGCGCTGCTCAAAATCTAGACACAAGGAGATTCGACGAGCAACATCTTTCAATCTGGCCACAGTCTGAGAAGCAATGTTTCTAGTAAGGGAGAGGAGAATTACAAGTTAAACATATTATTTATGCTGAAAAGACAAGGAGAAGGGGCAGTAAATCATGACATAAACTGGTATCAGAAGCACCTACCATATCCACAAATCCCCACCCCAAATGCCTACCCCTACATGTGTCAGATGTATCTGCAGTAAGCACAACTTTAGTCCAAACTGAGCAGAGGAGCATGGAAAACAAAAGATAATGATGCCCCTTTGCTTTACAAATGTGCTCCTACAGAGTCTCACAAAATGATCCAAAATCAGAGCAGATCTTGCTTAAAAAGGAACACCTTTGTATAAACCGTTAAAAGGAAAAAGTGTCATTTTTTTTTCTCCAAAGCTGCACAACAAATATGTGATCTACTCTAAAAAAATAAAACAAAACAATACTTGCCCACATTGCAACATCTGCCTTACAAGTTTGCCTTGAGTACCTGCTCAAGGACAGCAGAGGTGTACCATGTGCAGGTACTCAGGGCTCAAAGAACATGAGAAGGAAAACCAAAGTAGGTGTAAACAGTCCTAGGTCAGCATAGCTAGTACCCGAAGAACCCAGCAGCAAAGAGCCACAGCTCCAGTCCTAACTATGCGATGTGACTTAAGTCAGTCCATCTAGAAGAGTAGTGAATGTTCCTGATTCAGTGAGCAGAATGCAAAGGAACAAGGGCAGGCAGAATAAGACACAGAAATGGAGAGGGGTAACAAAGGGCCAGGTTGCTGGGATTAGATTCTGCAATGCCAAGCCACTGAGATTTTGAAAGGAAAATGATATCCTGTTTGTGTTTGAGGAAAGTAATTCTTAGGTCAGCATGAAAGCAGTTTAGAGCGGGCCAAGGAACACAGGATAGGGCACTGCCACAGCAAGAGTCCAAGCCCCAAGTGAGCCAGGCCTGATCTCTGATACTGAGGACAGAAAAGAGGGAGTAGGTTATTAAAGGAAGAAGTTAACAAAGGGAGGACAAGAGCCAAAATCAAGCCTGGTTCCAGATCTGCCACTAAATCAGATCAATCCTCCCAGTCCCATGCAGCCAGAGGTGTGCATGGCCAAGCAGGCCAACATGTATCACTGCTGCATAACAGAAAAAGTAAAGGACATGCTTTTGGCTCCACCTCTTTAATGACAGCTAGGAATTAAAGAAGTATTGCAAACACCTATAAAAGGTTTGTTGAGAACAACTGTCAATGGCACCTGTCTATGATTCATACCAGGACACTGTAAGCACTATGAATGAGAGAATGAGGACAGAAGGAGTCACTGGTTGGTAGTCCCACAGCAACTTGACGTATACCCACAGGCTTCCTAAGAAGGGACAATGGCTTACTCTTGTCACAGACAACAATGGTGAGCATGCACTATACTTTCCACTGCCTCTTGACTGCACCTGTCACCTTCACTACCTGATAACCTGTCCTGACAACACTGTAACAGAAGAAATAGGTCTGGAATCTGGTTCTTAAGTTATACCTGAAGGGATAAAATGGCATAAAAATTTTAACTTACTTCCTTATTATAAAACCCAGAACCATAATCAAAATGTGTAATTTTGATAGGGTTCATTAATTACAAAACATCCCTGCTCTTTATTTTCAAACATAAATGGTATTCTATGACTCCTTGCCAATACAAGACTAAAAAGTTATTCTCAAATCTGCTTATTTTTGGCAAGCAGCAATTTCTTCAACCCACATTTTCTAAGGAACGGAGACATGAAATGTCTTTAAAATCTGTTACATCATGAGACTGTTTTTCAAGAACTAATCAACCAAGTCAACACATCGAATTTCTCCCAATCATCAATAAATAAAGCAAGAGAATAAAATGATGTCTAGTCACACAAAGGAAAGAGCACATTATTAATGCCTAGATAACAGTGTTCTGTTAGTGAAAACGCTGTGAAAATTATTTTTCTTTTTCTAGTTTCCAAAATTTTTGTGAAGGAATATTCACCTCTATACTACAGTTTTATATTTGTACCTTTTAAATAAGTACATCTTTATTAAAAATTGTCTGTGGAACCAATGTGCAATATAGGATCCCACATGCTAGAGGGAAACACACACTCAGCTACAAAAGATACAAACAGAAGTCAGTCTGTGAGGATGGCACAGAGTAAGAGAAATACCACCAGTACTGTCACATATGTAATTTCAATTCTTCTATTAGTCACATTAATAAAAGTAAAAATCAACACATAAAGTACATTTTAATAAAATATTTATCACATGCTACGGGTTTGGATAAATGCCCCCCAAAGGCCCAATGTGTTGAAGGTTTGGTTCTCAGCTTGGCCCTAATTAGGAGGTGGTAGAATTATTTAAAAGGTGGGACCTAACAGGAGAACCTTAGGTATACCTTTGAAGGGGATACACGAACAACAGCCCGTTCTCCATCTCTATGCCTCTCTCTCTCTCTCTCTCTCTCTCTCTGCTTCCTGGCCACCAAGAGATGAGCAGTTGTGCTCTGCTACACACTCCTGCCATAACATACCATCTCACCATGGACTGAAACCATGAGCCAAAATAAACTTTTCCTCCCTATAGTTCTTTACTTCAGATATGTTGTCATAATGACAGAAAGCTACCACATCCAAACACACTGAAAATATTACCATTTCAACATGAAACTCATACAAGGAAAAGTAGGGCTAGCAGACTGGCTCAAGCGGTAAGAGCACCTGCCTAGCAAGCATGAGGACCTAAGTTCAAACCACAATACCACCAAAAGAAAAAAAAGAAGAAAAGAAAAACTATTGAGATATTTACGTTGGTTTTTACCCTATTAAGTCTTCAGAGACATCAGGTATCCAACCTATGTAGGACATATCAATTTGGACAGTAAAATTTTCATTGATCTGCACTTTCAACGTACAGTTGAAAAAACAGATCCAACTGATCACAATTTTCCAGACTTAGAAGTCTTCCAGTAAACGAACCAGGTTTAAGTTTTTACATTTTAATTAATAAAAAGCAAACAGAAAATATTCAAGTAGCTCAGCTACCATGAACACGTTTCAAGTGCTAATCAGCAAAGTGAAGCAAGTGACAGCTAGAATGGACAGGTCCAGGCCTAGCCAAACTGTTCTTTACAGGCCCAAAGATCAGTCTGAACATCCAAAGAAATGTTCAGAGAACAAGTGACTCATGATGGAAATCCAGCACTTGCTCTCTGCCACAGACATTAACAGCCCATATAGCAGTCTTCTCAGTGCTGAAAGGTATACTGAGCAGCTTAGAAAAACACTTCTGAAAATGACTTGCTTTAAAACTTTTGCATAGAACTTTACAGTTTACCTACCAAGCACTTAACACCGTATTCTCATCTGATCCTTAATTAACTCTGCAAAAGTACACACAGCTCTTATTCTCTCAATCACCATGCTCAGCAGAGGTTCACCTCCAAGTTTATGCACATAGTCACAACTAAAATTTTCTAAGAACAAATCCCAAACTCCTTCTACTACCACAGACTGTATAAACTCAATTCTCTTTATTTTAGGTTGCTAAATTACAGAACAGAATAGAGGGAAGTGTGATGGTGCACACCGATAACGCCAGCACTCAGGAGACAGAAGCAAAAGACCTCAAAAGTCTGAGGCCAGCCTGAGTGAGACACTATCTCAAAAGACAAAGAACACAAAACAAAACATACAAAAACAAGTAAGAGCAGAATGTATAACATTTTTTTAAAGGAACATATGAAATATTGATGGAAAGAAACAATCAACAGATTGGGAAAACAAAACAAAGGGTCACAAAAAAGTTTCTCAAAATAGTTCTTACCGCAATCAGTGACAGAAATTAGTTCTAAAACTTCTTTTTTCTCTTTCAAAGTTGGACGATGTTCCTACTAAATTCTAGTGTTTCTGACTGTAGAGAGCTGGTCTACCCAACTCATCCTCTAAAAACAGGTGGACAGATCTATGGCCATTGCCTAGGCCTCCTACTATGAAAGCAGCTGGCTGAGCTAAGACACTAGGGCACTACTTTCCCCATGAGATGAAAATATAATAAACCAGGAGCCTAAGTTCACATAGAGCAGGGTTTTGTTAAATAGAATTGTAATCACTTTTTTCATTTTCTAACAAATCCTTTTTAGAATTCATCTTGATTTTTTGCTGTTTTTGAATTACCTTTTTTAGCCAACTATGACTACTTTGGGTCTTGCCAAGGTTAGCCAATACAAACCGTGTGAATCTGAATTATTCTTACCTCCTCCCAATCTGGCGTTCAAAAAAAATACTCACTAATTCTTCCATTCACTTTAGTTTCTAAATTAAAAGTTCTCTTGCAAAGTGGGGGGGGGGGCGCGGCGGAATATATATATATATGTGTATGATATGTAGAATTAAACAATGATACAACCAGTTTTAAAAATCTAACCTTACCATGATGGTTTTAATTTGCATCTACCTGCTTATTACTGATAAGAATCTTTTTTCTGTTTACTGCACACTCTAATTTCTTTTTCATGAAAATCTTTAGAATTTCTTCATACATTCCAACCTCTACTCCTTCCTATATCATAGTCTGCTCTTTACCATAAAAATCTACCCTTAGCAATTCTCAGAGTAATTCTTCAATAGCCAAACACATTCTTGAGACCATACTGCTAGATTACACTAAATTAACATGAAAAAAGTCATTGCTGATTAAATATAATATAGCTAATACTATTTACCTGAGAAGCTGCTGTATGAGTTGAACCAGAGGCAAACACTGTTTGCCAGAAGATTCGTAGATCCCCGTATTAATAAGATCTTTATCCAAAGGTGTCCTGCTTCTATGAAATGTTGAGGCATTTGCTTCTTGCTCATCAATTTCTTTTTCCTTCTGTGCTTCTTTTTTGGCTTCAATATCCTATAATTCATAAAAACAGAAACCGGTGACCAGTGGTCTCACTTAGCAGTAAAGACGCACTGGGCTGAGCCTAGGGCCCAGCCTCTACAAGTTAAGGCACACAACTGGTGACCACACACACCACTTCAAAACTCCATTACTCTGTTGCTCAGTTTCTAAACAAACTATTCTTCCTAAGAATCAAACGGCCACGATCCTACTGTTAATGGTCTCATCCTTCTGTAAAGTCCCTGAAATCTTTACCCTGCTACTAGCTCTCACAAACACCCAGTGTGATCTGCACAAATACACAGTCTATCCACTTAGTGAGGTAAGGAAAGAGGTAAAATTCCCACAAACACTGGCTCAAATGTAAACAGCAAAGCCGTCTGGGAAACTATAAGCACACGTGTACCCTAGAACCCAGAAAATTCCACTCCTGAACTATTTACCCAAGGGAATTAACACATGTTCGCTAAAGGACTTGTATACAGCACGACGATAGCAGCTTCACACAGTCAAAACCCAAAAACAATCAAAGTCCTCCAACAGAAGAACAGATAACCACACAACACTTAACAATAATGGTCAATAACAGTGAAGTACTTCTTAGTAACAAAAACAAAGAATTAACATATGATAATACGGTTGAATCTGAAAATCACTATCTGAGGCAAAAGAAGGAAGACACAGAAGAGGAAGGTACCCACTACATAACTTCATTTATATAACATCACAGCACACAGATTTCAGTTATTCAGAAGATAGGATAGTGTCATGACTAATAACAAAGGGACACAAGGATCTTGCTAGGTGATAAAAATGACCTTTGCGATGAAGGGAATATCTGTCAAATTCACTGAATGGGAGCATTTTATCATAAATAATATCTCAACTTTTTTATTAATTAGTAAGAGTTTTAGGTTAAAAAAAAAAATACTTGAATGTAACCAAAAGTTTTATGTTTTGGTTTCTTCTGGAAATTGGTCATGATTTCTCCACATATATAGTGTAGTGTTTTCAAACTAAGCTCACTGCCAGGGAAAATTGCCCATGGGCTCCCCTATACTCCTAGGGTCACACCTGGATTTCTGCAGTAATGGCTGCATTTAAGGCCGATTCTAATCCTCCATCAGCCATCAAGCTGCCCACCAGCAAATCAATCATGAATCGACGACCTGGACTTATGTTCACTTCATTGCCTGAAACTAGAAAAGAAAACCGTTTTTTATTTTGTTTTCATTTTTGCCAATTTGAGTGAAGTGCCAGCCCTTCCCACACTCTTATATGCACCCACCCCCATTCCTCGTCCAGACCCACCTGTGCAGGGCAAGAGTGCAGATAGCGCCCGGGCCCGCTCCTCAGCTGTGGGCAGGAGCACAGACCAGCCACTCTGTAGCACAGCCTGGGCAGCTGACTGCACAGTACTCAACACACCCACACTACTGGCCAGGGTCACAACGGTCTGTTTCAGGCTATTCAGGAGGACACTGCCCAGACCTAAACCAAGGAATTCTGGATCAACCTGGTGACTGATGGCAGCATGTAACTGAAAGGGAAAAACAAAACAATCAATTTTCATTTAGAACCTCCCCCCAAAAAATGGACTTCAAGCTCTTACTAAAGACTGAATAAAACTTAATTTACACTATTATTTAAATTTTAAAAATTAACTTCTTGGTACAGATTAAATATCCCTTATCTGATATTCAACTAGAATATCAGAAGTGCTTGGATTTGAGTATTTTCAATTTTGGAATATATGTATATATAATGAGACATCTTGGGGATGGGACCCAAGTCTAAACACAAAATTCACTAATGTTTCATACATACCTTATATACATAGCTGGGAGGTAATTTTATATAATACTTTTAATCATTCTGCACAGGAAATAAAGCCTGTGGTATGCTGAATTTCTCACTTGTGGCATTGTGTTAGCATTTAAAAAGTTTCGAATTTTAAAGCATTTCAGATTTGGGATTCTCAGATTAGGGATGTTCAACCATTATATGTATTTTTAAAATCTGGACTAAAAAAAATTTACCCACATTAGTTGAATATTCTCATTGTAAGGTATGTTATAATAAATTTTGGTGACCAGCATGGCAGTACATGCCTGTAATCCCAGCTACTCTGGGGGTGGAAATAGGAGAAGTAAGGTCCAAGACCATCCCAGGAACAGCATGAGACCCTATCTGAAAAACAAATGAAAGCAAAAAGGGCTGGGGGTATGTCCCAAGTGGTAGAGTGCTTCCCTAATAGAAAAAAAAAAAATTAAAAAAAAAAAAACAAACTTTTTTGTTTTGTTTTGTTTTGTTTTGTTTCTTTTATTATTCATATGTGCATACAAGGCTTGGGTCATTTCTCCCCCCTACCCCCACCCCAAAACTTTTGTTCTATTTTTTTTTCAATAGTGGGTTTTGAACTCAGGGCCTCCCACTTTCAAGGAAGATGCTCTTCTACTTGCACCATCCCTCCAGACCTGTTTTCTATGGCTATTTAGGAGAGAGTGTCTCACTTTTCACGATCCTCCTATTTTACACTTCCCACCTTCACTGAGATGACAGGCCCATGCCACCACACCCATCTTTTTACTGCTGAGATGGGGTTCTCACAAACTTTTTTGCCCAGGCTGGCCTGGAACTGCAATCCTTTGTATCTGAGCCTCCCAAGTAGCTTGGGAAGACAAGTGAGGGCCACTGGGCACCCACCTAGAATAAAAAAAAATTTTAGCACAGCTATAAAAATGTATATAGAAAAGTCCAAGGTTAACATAGAGGACTAAACAATGCAGAAGCAGCAACCTCCACTCCACCCCCAACAATCTGTACAAAACCCAAGAAATAATGGATATAATTTAATCAACAACTGTTAAAAATTCAATAGCAAAGCTGGGAGCATAGGAGAAAACTGCTCCAGGGCAAAACTGGAACAGACATAGACGCACACATTAGGAACCAAAAGGCTCTGGCTTTTAAAGCTTCTGGGCTTAAGGGTAACCTCCCATATGGGAGTAGGAGTAGCCCTCCCATACTACTGCCAACCACCCACTGGACCTGAGCTTCCTACAGAAAGCTGGGGACTGCTCAGGATCACCTGCCTGACAGCCAACAAGGGCCAGAGGGCCACACAATTCCCAGTCAGACTTTCAGTAGAAAGAGCCCTCACTAGAAATGTGGGAGCCAGCCTGCCCTTTGAATAGCAATTAGATAAATATATCACCCATATTACAAGTCAAGAGATAAGGAACAAGATTCACTAGGACCAGTACAGCCCCTCAGAATACCCCAAGGCAAATAAGAAACTGTCCTCTAGGGGCATCTGGACAGCTAAAGGCAAAGGTTCACCCCTATGAAACATTCCTTGAAAGTGTCAAAAGGGACAAATTACCATGTTAAAAACCATCATGAGGGAAAGTCACAGAGAAGAAAAGTGCATGTCCTAAGAGATGGCAGCAAAAAAAAAAAAAAAGAAAGAAATCCACAAAATAAGTATATGTAAAATATTTTTAGAGATCAAGGGAAGAACAGACTCAGAAGATGAGACTATAATGAGCAAATTAAAAGCCTCAAAAAAGACCAAATTCTAGAAATGAGAACAACAGTTACAAGTACAAAAACCTCAGGATGGAGGTGTGCAGGGCCCGTCATGAACCTTTACACACTAGGTATCTGACCTAGGCAAGTTACTGTTTCCCTGTATGTGCAGACCAAGGTTCCCATCTTTCCAAGGGCTGCTACATGGACTTGATGAGTCAACATCTTACAAAGCACTTAGAAGAATATTTGTTAAATAGATGGATAATTCAATAACAGGGTCCACTGAGCTAAAGGAAGAATTTGTAAATTGAAGGAAAGAACTAAGTAAAACACTCAAAAGGCAAAACAGAAAAATAGAGATGAGGGCTGGGTAAGTGGCTTGAGTACTAAATTAAATGTCTGCTTAGCAAACACAAGGTCCTGAGTTCAAACCCCAGTACCACCAAAATTAAAAAAAGATAAAAAGAGATTTTAAAATATCAAAAAGGTCATGGAATGTGAGATGATAAAATGAGAAAGTTCAGGACTTCTCCAGAGGGAAAAGTAAAAGAGGAGAGGATGACTTCAATAATAACTAGTGAAAACATTTCAAAGTTAATGAAGACATGAAGTCTCAGACTGACTGGGAATCATGCTCAAGTTATACACACAAAAGTACATCCTCACCTGGACATGAGACATAACGTATTAAAATTACAAAATAAAGACAAAAACCTAAAAGGCTACTAAAGAGAAAGACAAATTATCTACTAAACAACAATAGTTCCATAGTGAAAGATTTATCATTAGGAACAATAAAAGCTAGAAGAGAGTAGTACATCTTCAAAGAGCAAATAAAAAAAGCAGATAATGCAGGCTCAGTGTAGCTTAGTGGTAGAGCACTTGCATGCCATGTGTGAGGTCCTGGGTAACCCAAAAAGCTGAGCTGTAATATATTTGGTGAGAGGTTGAAGTACACAGCTTTTTTCAGACTTTACATTTGACACACCGTAATGAAACAAACTTATGAAGAATCTCAGCAAGAAGGAAATAAGCTGAAACCAGAAGGAGGGTGAAAATAAAGTGGTTCTTTAAAAAGAATACATTTTGAGTAAATATGGCCTCTTTTAAAGTGATGATAATTAATTGGAGGGAAGTTTAAAAATAATTACAATATTTCACCAACCCTAAGAAATACTTTTTTTTTAATATAATATCTCTAAATTCAGAATAAATCTTATAAATTGCAATTGGGAACAATTCTTCTTCATAGGGACACAAAATAACAATGTGTGCTGAATCTGCAATAATGGAGTAGATACCTAACAATTTTAACACTGTAGAGTGAGTTTAGTTTAACACATCCTAACCAAGGAAGGTAGGGAAAAGCGGAGGAGAGGCTGGCTGATTTTGTAGCTTTTATTTAAGCTTTAACCATTCTTCATTGTGGGGAAGTGAATGCAGTGCTGTAGGGAGCCCAGCTTCCTGATCACAGTAAGCTTTCACAGTCCAGAGAAGAGACTGGCTAGCACTTGTCTATCACCTCAAGCAGGCATTTCTCCATATATAACAAAAACAAATCCAGGAATGTCTCCCCAGATGAATGCCACAAAGCTCATTACAGCAGAAATAACGCAATCCATTCATACTCTTTACCTGTTACATGTAATACTGACTTCCAGGACAAGCATAAAATAACCAGATTAAGTTTTTAAGCCTCATAAACATTACTGCCTCATAATTTTATTTTAAAATACTTTAAAAGTTTCACTATCAGTTCACCTAACAGGCTTAATCACACACCCTTCAACATGCACAAACATTTTGATGAATTCCTCAGTCACTTGTAAAAGGAGCAGGAGGACAGGAAAGTATTGACACCTGAAGTCGTAGAAGATTGAGAGTTGCCACAGCCATGCACTCTTTCTCTTGTGGTGGGGGCCAGTCAGCAGTGCCGTCCATTCCCTCACTCACTTGCCGCAGCAGGAGATCCAGCTGCTCAAAAGTCATTGAGCAGATGTCTACCACGAAAGGGACACGGAGGCCAATGGACCACTCAGAACAAGATGACCAGGCAAAGCTCTATGGAAGAAACATGAGAACCTAAAATTAATCTACAAATTCAGCTATTGGTCTCTTACACAGAAGAATATACCACTCTATATGTGGAAAACACCTTCAATTATGACTTAACTCTTTGTATGTGTACTTCCAAGGCTATATAGCTCACAATTTTCTCCCATTTTGCTAACCCCATCTCATTTTGCCACACCTAATAATGTAAAACATATTTTCACTCTCAAAATTACTAATGCATATTAACAGATAACAGTGAGTCTCTTAATTGACTCAAAAGTGGTGTAATAGCAGTTCTAAGTAGATAATGGAATGTTACATATATATATACACTGTACTCCCAGTAAAAGAACAAAAACAAATAATCTGCAAGGCTCTAGAAGAACTGAACAATACCATCAATTAACTGGATCTAATAGAGATTTATAGAACACTTTACCCAACAGCACCAAAATACATATACTTTGTAAGTAAACAGAATGCTCACTACATCCTTAGACATAAAATCTTAACAAATTTTTAAGAACTGAAATCATATAGACTTTGCTCAACAAGAGAATTAAACTAGAAACTGCTAACAGAATGGTAACAGAACAATGTCCAAACACCTGAAGTTAAATTCTTAATAATCCATTGACCAGGCCAAGGATGGTAGTGCTCACCTATAATCCCAACTACTTAGGAGGAAGAGAGGTAAAAGGATAAAGGTCCAAAACTAGCCAGGTCAAAAGTGTAAGATTTTATCTGAAAAACAAACTAAATCCTAAAATCCTTAAATCCTAAAAAGGATTGAAGGAATGGCTCAAGTGGTACAGTGCTTGCCTATCAAGTGTGAGGCCCTGAGTTCAAACCCCAGTACTACTGCCCTACCCCTCTCCCCTAAAATAAAAAAATCCACTGGTCAAAGACTAATTCTAAAGAGAAATTTTTAAATATTTTAAATTTGACAAAAATAATACTATATCAAAATTTGTAGGTACAGTTAAAGTACTACTTAGAAGAAATTTTACAGCATCCAATGTTTATACGGAACAAAAGAAAAAAAAGCCCAAAACAAGCAATCTAGGATTCTACCTTAACTAACTAGAAAAAGAGCAAAGTTAGCCCAAAGAAACTTAAAGGGAAAAACAGTAACAAAGAGCAGAAATCAATAAAATTGAAAGCAAAAAACAAGGGCAAATTAATGAAGCTAAAAGTTCTTTTAAAATATCAACAAAATTATTAAACCTCTAGAAAGGCTGACAAAAAAAGAAATTACTAGTATCAGGAATGAAAGAAGGGCAATTGTTGCAGGCACAGCCAACTTCAAAAGGTTTATAAGTAAAAACTGTATCTGCTAAAATCAGAGAAGTGAGATGAAATAGAACAATTTCTAAGTGCCACAAACCAGAAAAATACACCTTAGAAATAGATAGCCTGAACGGTTCTGTATTTATTAAAGAAATTGAATTTATAGTTACAAATTTTTTAAGGAAGAACTCTCTAGGCTCACTCTGACATTAGATTAAAGCCACTGTAGCTTCCGGTCCAGGGCTGCTTTCTGTCCTGCACGGGCTAGTGAGTGTGGGATGTGTTTGTTCTGTTCTCATGTTTGTGTTTTTTAGAAAACTGAAGGATCAACAATGGCATTGTGTAATAAAATCACACACAAAAAAAGAAATCTCTAGGCTCAGATGGATTCAAAGACAAACATTTAAAGAAAAATTAACAGCTGGACATGGTGGCACAAATCTACTATCCTCAAACTCAAACAGCTGGGGCAGAAGAATCACAAGTTTGAGGCCAGCCCAGACTACACAGCAAGACCCTGTCTCAAAAAAAAAAAAAAGGAGGAGAAGAAGAAATAACACTAACATTATACAATTCTTTTAGAAAATAGAAAGGAACCTATGCCAACATTTTTCATGAGACCAGCTTTATTCTGATAAAAATCAATTAAGACAGCACAAAGAAAAAAAAAAAACCACAAACCAGTATCTCTAATGAGTGTCGATACAAAAATCCTCAACAAAGTATTAGCAAATCAAGTCCAGCAATATATAAAAAGGATAAACAACAAACTAAGCTTTACCCCAAAGATTAATTATTTTTGAAAAATTAATGTTTTCCACAAAGAAAACTTCATTATTTATATCAGCTGAGAAAAAGCATTAGCCAAAATCAACATCCTTTCAGGATACTTTCCAAAAAGTAGGAATTAAGGGAAAATGCCTTAATCTGATAATAAGATCTACTAAAAAAAAAAAAAACAAGCATCACAGCTGATGGTAAAAGTGAATGCTCTCCTCCTGTGATCAGCAACAAGGCAAGGGTGACCACTCTTACTTCTATTCAGCAACACGTGGGAGTCTTAGGCAGAGCAACAAGGCAAGACATTAAAGGCAAATAAACTGAAAGGAAGAAAGCAAGTTGGGTCTGTATACATATGACTGTCTATGAAGAAAACTCTAAGGAAACTAAAATAAAACTCACAAAAGTAGCATGTGGTTTGGTACAACTACAGAACATAAGGAAACACACAAAAATCAACGGTATTTCTAAACACTATCAGTGAACAATTGGAAACCAAAACTGTATAAAATACCAAACCTAACAATATCATATTCTCAGTACCTGGGCAGTTCCACAGGCAATTCCAACTATGTGTTTGGTGTCTAGTCCTGGCAGTGCAGTAGGTTCTGGCTTGGTCACACGCAAAGTGTCAAAATGCTGGCACTGGTCATTGCTCCCCCAGCTGTGTACCTCACTGTCCTCTGTCAGAGCCAGGCAGTGGGTAGAGCCTGCAGCCACATCAATCACCTTCTTCCCTGTGTGAAAAGGGGAATACAGATGCAGCTTTAAGCCTCTGACTTCTGTTACAAGAAAGACATCTGCACACAGCTAATGAGGGTCAGAAGGCATTAAAATATAAATCTGTTAAGGATACTTTGTCCCATCAATATTAAGCAGGATTACTTTTTAATGAAGTAATTTATTGAGGATCCCAGTGGACAAAGTAGAATCTCAAGAATTCAAAATTTCACATCCCTTGTCTAATCCTTGAAGGATGAGATTCATGTATATATATATATATATATATATATATATATAAGACATGCAAAGACTGCTTCTGAAATTAATTAGGAAGATCACAGGTAGCCAAAGCTACTCTCACTGAGTCCAGCTTGCTAAGTGATGAATGGGTGACAGTCACAGAAAGAACATTCCAATGTTAATAAAACTGAATGGGTTTCAAACTTAATTTGGGGTGGAGGGGAGTTGAAAACTGAAATTGGTGAGAATATTTCTAGGCTACTTATTAACGTATACAAACCACTTTCCAATAATGCATCTCTTAGCAAGATGTTAGTGAGGGTTTCTAATGACAGTCCATTAGTGTATTATCAAGTTAAAAGAAAAACCTCAGACTTTAAAAGATTACTAAAAAAAATGTCCCTAAGGATTTTAAAAGTTTACATTTGTACTCACCTTGTAAGCCTTCCAAGAGTTTGGGGTAACGGACGTGTTCCTCTGTTCCATGCCCAAGTCTCTGATTGTCACCTTTTCCCCATGAATACACCTGGCCATCTTTCGTCAAAGCAATAGAAAACTGACTTCCACAGCGAACTTTGACAACATCCAAGTCTTGAAGTTTTTCAATCAGCTTTGGTGTTTTGCAGCCATCACTACCACCTCTACCCAATTTCCCATAGTCACCATCTCCCCATGACCACACTTGCCCTAGAAAATACAAATGTATTTAGGGAAAAATAATTGTATATTTTGATCAAGCTATGGTGGTACATGGCTATAATACCAGCACTTGGGAGGTTGAGGCAGGAAAATTGTGAGTTTGAAGCTAACCTGGGTTACACAGCAAATTCCAGTCAAGCCTGAGCTACACAGCAAGACCCAGTCTCAAAATCAAAAACAAAAATAATAAATAATAATAATTGTACATTTTAATGAAAGTTCTTAAGTGACTGAAAATAATATAACCAGTAAGACACACAAATCTACATCACATTTATATATACTATTATATACATAATATATAATTAAGACTACCACAGTGGTTAATGCCAAATGAAATCTAGTTTATACTTCAGATTGATATAGATTACCAAAGAAACTTTCCCTAAGGGTTTTAAAAATTTACATTTGGCTTCACTTTGTCTTTCTTGACATAGAAGCAATTTAAAAGGGCAAAGCTGAGTTTTCTTTTTGTTTCAAATAAATGAAAACAAAAAGTCCTGACTCTTATCAGTTCGGCCTCAATGCTACTACTTCAACTAAATAGTAAACACAAAACTAAAGCTCCATGCCTCTAAAAACGCTGGGACTGACAGCACATAGCTGTAGTTCACTGATCACTCTCCAGTCTGCCTGCAAATTGCTGTTCTTACCACACTGACCACAGGTCAACTGATCCACTGTAGTTGTTCCTAATTGCCTTTGTTAATGCAATTATTTAATTTAACTAAATACTACTTCATAAAGGGATAAAGTACAGTAGCAAAATACTATTACAGTAAGCCAAATACTGTAAGAGAAATACAGTAAGCCAAATCCTAAATGAAAGTGAATAGAAAAAAACAAAATTTTGTTAAACCAGGCATAAGTGAAAGCTTAAAAGATAAGAAACCACAGGAAGAAATCAGAAAAAAAAAAAAAAACAGATTGTTCATAAATAATCTAAAACAAAGATCAGCAAACTTTCTTAAAAGATCAGATGGTAAGTATTTTTAGCCTCTGTGGGCAATACAATCTCTGTCACAATGACCCAAATGCATCATTGTCATAGGAAAGACACTACAGACAATACATAAGCAAGCTGACTTAGCTGTGTTCCACTACAACGCTATTTGTAAAAACACGCAATCCTTGACCCAAACTGAAAACTGTTAATAATATGCTAATTAGGTGACCAACAGAAGTCAAGAGAGCATCCACAATTTTATATGCTTTGGGCAGAAGTTTATTGTTTTTACACAGTCCCCACTTACACCAATGTTTCTGGTGAGCCCATCATCCCAGGCCAGACTGCACAGGGCAGGATGCTTCTACTGTACCAGTCATCTCAAAACATAATAGTGTAGCAGGAACATCTCCCTGTAAGATTAGCACTAAACACCATGTGAGATATTCATGCCACACAGACAACATCAACAATATCATAACAAAGTTTCCTAACAGCAATTTCACACAAAGAATGCTAAGGACAATATTCTAATACAGCTTGGTTAAGAAAATACTTCCTGTCTGGGAATTGTGGGCCATGTCTGCAGTCCCAGAAACTCAAGAACTAAGAACTGAGAATCACTTCAGCCCAGGAGTTCAAGGTTAATCTGGGCAATGTAGCAAGACACTGCCTCAAAATAATTAAAAAAAAAAATTCGTGGTTAAAAGTTTTTCAAGGTAGGGTCGGATGCAGTGGCTCACATCTGTAATCCCAGCTACTCAGAAGGCAGAGATCCGAAGGATTGAGGTTCAAGGTCAGCCCAGACGAAAAGTTAGCAAGACCCCATCTCAACAAATAAGCTGGACATGGTGGTACACGCATGTTATGCCAACTATTAGGGAGGCAAAAATACAATTTTGCTTCAGACCAGCTTGGGCAAAAAAAAAAAAAGAGACACCACAAAAAAAAAAACAGCTAGAGTAAATAGGGCTGGGGGGCAGTTCAAGTGGTAGAGCACCTGCCTAGAATTCCCAATGCCCTGAGTTCAAATCCAACACCAAAAAAAAAAAAAGGTCTGCAAGGTATATCACTTATTCAATAATGGATAGTTAAAAGCAATGAGATGTCAAATTGAAAGCTTCATGCCAGAAGAAGAGATCTTTCAAATGATAACTTAGGTCATCTTTCTCTAGGACTCAAACAAGATGACTCTCAAGCAAAATGACTCTGACAGTATCTGTCCCACCAACAGTGGAACCTACATATGTCAGTGCCTGAAATGATCTTTGATCTTTCACTAAAGAAAATTCCCAGAAGTCAATCTGCAACACAGCATTCAACCTGAATGGGAAAAAGTAGGCTGAGAGATTCCTCAGCTGACTCTGATGGACAGATGCCAAAGACTGATAAGGTACAGAGGACTACGCAACCATAATACTAACAAACATAGTTGTACAAAGTAAATGTGATTCTACTATAAAGCCTGATAAATGTGCCCTCAAAAATGGAAAATGGAAGCCAGTTATGGTGGTGCACACCAATAATCCCAGCACCCCAGAGGCAGAAAACAGGAGGATCAAAGTGCAAGGCCAGCCTGAGCCATATAGTGAGACTCTGCTTCAAAAAAATAAAAGATAAAACCACCAAGGGTTAAGATGTAGCTCAGTGGCACAGTGCATGCCTAGCATGTGCAAGCCCTTGGATTCAATCCCCACTAATGCAAAAGAAAAAAGGGGGAGACGGGAGAGAAGAAAAAGAAAGAAGTTGAGCCTAACGAACAAAAAAGTAAAATTAAAAATAAGCAAACAACGTATCATTCGATAAAGATTAAGCAGACTTACTGTGAGAAATCAAGAATAGCTGAACATTTGGGAATGTATAATAAAGACTAGAAATAATTCACAATACCAATTATTCTATTTCGTTCTGATTTTTAGTTAGAAAATAAACACCCCCTAGGAATAATGGGAGTCGCTAACCCGCTGTCTAGCTATGGGCAAGCCTAAGTGCAGGGATGTCTTAGGCCTCTTCACTGAGACCAGAAACCCACACCTACTTAAAAGGATGATGACAGCAGAGGACAACCTTGTGAGACTCACTCTATTCTAAATCTCATCCCTCCAGGGAAACAGCCATCAACATCCTTGAGAGACTTTCCAGGGAGGCACAAGATGTACATACCATTTTCAGTCACTGCCAGGGTTTGGGCATCCCCACTCCCACAAGCAACGTCTATGACCTTCAGTCCTTTAAGCCCAGCTACCAGCATTGGAATAGCCTCATCTTCACTGGAGCCTTTAAAGAGACATAACTGTGTTACTGATGTCCTCTAGAAGAAGCAACATTCTATTACATGCTTGTCCTAGTGCACAGCAGACATACCATGGCCCAGGCGGCCATAGTTCCCACGGCCCCAGGTGTACAGCTCCCCTTCAGCAGTGATGGCTGCACTGTACGTGCTCCCGCACGCTATGTGCACCACATGCTTTCCAGCCTGCTTCCCTGAGAAAGCAGAGATTAGCTTAGGTTCCTCCAGAGGCCTGTGGGGGAGAAGGGAACAATGTAAATACTCTTCTAGGCATTTGTTAGAGTCAACAAAGTTCACTAATAGGAATAGATAATGACAGCATCAAGACAGTGTTGCCTTTCAGGTATCTCAAAACACCAATCATCATCAACACTTGTTAAATCAAAGCCAGTATCAAGCATGGTATCCAGCAAGAATATCAAAACTGTCTATTAAAGACTTGCACAATGAAGTGCATAGCATCTTTACTCACAATGACCCAAACCATGGTCCATCAGCAACAAAGGAATGAACTACTGATCCACCCAATGATATGATAGATTTCAAAACACTATGCTGAGTGAAAGAAGGCAGGAACAAAATCCTGTATGCTGTAAGGCTTTATTTTAAATTCTAGGAGAGACAAAATAATACTGACAGCACAGATGAAAGGTTATGAGCAGGGATCGATTGCAGGGGTACAAAGAGAGCTCTGGGAGCATCTTGATTGTGGCAGTTTCCTCACTGAATGCATTTGTCAAATCCACCCAGTTGTACACTTCAAACTAATTCAGTTGATTGTATGTCCATTTCATACATACGCATATTTGTTAAATAAATGTGGACAGAATGAAGCCTACAGAGTTCACTAATGCACACACACTAATCTGCATTTTATAAATGACAACTATAAGGAAGTAAGGATTGGAGTAGAAAAGTCTTAATAAATGAAGAAATCTTGAAATTAGCAAAATGATTATAATCTAGAATATGTGTCCTAGATGGATATAGTGTTTTCTTGAGAATATATACAAGCCCACACTGGCCTCTCCAAAGACATGGTTACTCATTTTGTGACCTACTAGAGGCATGAGCACACACAGGAACAGCCAATGGCTTTCCTTTCTTGTACAGCTCGAGTTTCAACTCCCCTAAAAGTTTCTCTCCAACTCCTGCCATCTGCACAGACCTTTTCCCTGAACTCCTAGAGCAAGGGACAAGTTTCTTATTCTAGCACTTAATCTCAGCTGATACTGATTTTCTTAAGAAATATTATATAGACAATAAATTGTAAATACCATAAAGGAAACAGAAAGATTAACAGACTTAACCCGCCCTGCCACTCTTTACCTGAGTGCCTCCTGAGTATTCTATGCCCCTTGCCAATACCACCCTTCCAGTGTGAGAGTAACAATTCTAAATTCCTTTTTCTTTTCTCGCTATAGTTTTATCACATTTGAGTGAATCCTTTACAACACAGTCACATTTGCAGCGTTTCTGAACTCTCTAAATACTGTACCATATGTATCACTATGCCTTTCTCATGGTTGGGATTGTTCTCAGCAGATGTCCTGAGCAGTAGTGCCTGCATTTCCACCCTGCAGTATCCTCCCATCTCTTCACAGTCACATGGGCAGTCAGTACTGTGATCAATTCCAACCTGCTCCTGGTTTTAACTGCATGAGGTGGGCTTGCTGGGTTGGAACATTTGTGCAGCTTCAATTTCTACCTAATGCCAAAGTCTTTCCATTAGACTCACAACAGTAAGGTATTCCCATTCCCATAGGAACTGGCAGACCTCCCAATTTTTACAGCCAGACATTTATAACAACAGACGTTTATTTTTATAACAACAGACATTTTACAGCCAGACATTTATTTCTAATCTCTCAGAAGTTTCCAACAATAAGATAATATTAAGAAACTATTAACTGGTCACGGTGGTGTACACCTGTAACCAAAGCACTCAGTAGGCAAAGGCAGGAGGATCATGAGTTCGAGGCCAGCCTGGCTTATAGCAAGTACAAAGTCAACCTAGGCTATATACTGAGACCATGTCTCAAAAAAACAAGGAATATAGCTGAGTGGTAGAGCTGAGTGGAGAGCCTAGCATGCAAAGGCCCTCAGTTAGATCCCTAGCACCATTAAAAAAAATAATAAACCTGTTGATTTTTCTACTAGTGAGGACATTGTAGCTCAAGGGCCTTGCTGGTTGGAGACAAAAGTGAAGTGTTTGTGAGTGAAGCGGCAGTATGTAAAAGTTGCTTTAGAAAACATAGTGGGTTGTATGCTTGCTGGCAGAGTTCCCAAGGAGTTATCAAGGATGGACATACGTGATATCCCTCCCCAACAGAGCCATACACACTGGGGCAGCTGGAAAACACCCAGACACATCCTGTTTTCCCTCCGATTGTGAATATGGCTACAGAGGAAAGCAAGTCAGTTTTATGAATGAGCTATACGCACACAGTATCCCCATGGCCCAGCCGTCCGCCATCCCCACAGCCCCAGGAGTACACCTCTCCAGTGGCAGCCAAGGCCAAGTAGTGGTGACCGTCAGAATGGGCAGCAATTTTTACAATGTTTCTGGAGGCAAGACCCTGAACAAGTTGGGGAGCCTAAGAGGGTAAAAAGAGGAAGAAAGTTAGTCATAAGTCTAAAGATATTGAAAACAGCACAACTCTTCTCATTCAAACCTCCAGAGCTACTCAACTAGTTCTCCAGCCCACCCATCCCTGCACCAATAGAATGGCAGGCAATCTCCAAGTAGTCTGCAGTTTGACCGGTGCCAATACTACACAGGGCAGGCCGCCCTGTGCAACACAGACACGCAGCTTGATGGAAGGACTGTGTCTTTCCCTAATGAGAGCACACATGTCCCAAGATACCATCATCTCCATGAGGCCCAGCTCCTCTTCTGTTACCTATTGGGCCTGAAGAGTTTACACATGGAAAGTTGGCTTTCAAAAAGGAATCATGATTAACAATGGGTTTCACTCTAAGAAGATCCTGATCTTAACAACTCAAAATTTTGACATGATTATGATGATATTTTAAGTGACTAACATACAATGAATAAATGCTTATTATCAATGACTAAAAAGACTAGACCATGTGGCATCTACAGCAGGAACCTCACCCACTTACAGAGGCATACTGGCAAAACACCCACACCACCTACCAGCGTGTCACTGTTGTAGGCCTGTGTGTATACTCGGCCATTTCGTGATAGGATCAAGAAGCGCTTCTCTGCACAGGCAATCTGTGTAACTCCCAGGCTGGCAAGACCTTCGCACTGGATTGGACCAATCACATTGGCATAGTATTTCCATCCTATTAACCCCCAACCTATGACTTCCTGTAATGATCCCTGTAAAGTAAGAAAGTAAATATTTTCTTCATAGCAAGAGAATGTCTAGAAGTACCACTGAGATACTATGAGCTAAAAACAAAGTAAAAGAACAGAACTGATTCAAAACACAAAGTAAAAGAACAGAACTGATTGAAAACACCAGTTAACAAGATAAAACAAACGAATGGGTTATTTTTCCATAGTATTTTATCTTAACAGTACCCATAAAAATGCAGTGCCAATGGCCCTTTCATGTATTTTTAAATGCTCAAACCGTGCCAGTATACTGCTTTTGTGCCATAACAGACAAAAACTCAAAAGCTCACGCACAATGCTGAGACACAAGTGACCCTTGGGCGGTCATCTAGAGATAACCAGCCCAACACTAGGTCACCCCACTGGCACGTGTGCACAGGCACATACATGTGCAAACACACATACACACACACACACAAAAAACACCAGGTCAGTCATGAGAGTAGTATGTGGTTAACAAAATTTATCAATAACCCAAGTGTCCATTATAAAAGACTCATAAAAAAGATATATTCACACCTGGCATACTTAGCTACTTCAACAAAATTAGAAGAGAAGCTCTGCTTACTAATACAGAAAGCTCTCTAGCATATATGTTTAGTGAGAAAAATAAGCTACAGAAAAAGTATAACAAGCTGCCACTCGTATATTCATTCCAGAGAACAATGAAATGTTATAGAAGAAACTAGAAAAAGTGAGGTCAAGCAGGTGGGGGACACAGGGTGGACGAGTGTCAGAAGAAGAAGTAACATGTCTTTGCACATAATTTTTATTTTTGAACAATGTGACTGCATTAGTTCTTTTAAGTGACTTTCTTAATAAAATAAATACTACTCACATTAAAAACAAAAAGCGAGAGAAACCTGGATTTAAAACCAGGATTATTCTGTGTGACCTTAACAGAATTCACCACCATTCCAAATGTTGATTTTCTCATAGATACAATGGGGGAATGCTCTGATGATCAAACATGACCATTTGTGAGATTCTTGGTGGACTGGCACTCTCTCTAGGCTTTCTATACACACACACACACACACACACACACACACACACACGCACATTCTCCATACAAAAGGCTGTGGAACCTTCTTGCAAAAAGCAGGGAGGTCTATGTGAGCTCTCTGGAGTCTCCAGTTTGGATCCCCAAGCCCTGTGCACCCCAGCTTGCTCTTCACTCACTTTCCATTGACAAACCATAAACAAATTTAAAAACTGTAAGCCAGTTCACATGACCAATACCAGAAAAAATTAAGACTGACACATGCAGAGAATGAGAATCTGGGAGTGCTACAAACTAGAGCACACAAATAAAGCTCAAGGGGCTGGGAATATAGCTCAGTGGTAAAGCACTTGCTCAGCAAATTTGATACCAAGCATGGGAAAGGGAAATACTTCTCTAGCACATACCTTATGAGATGTTGGAGAACTACACAGAGGAGGCATACAGGGTGTAGCCAGGCGGTCTAAATGGGCCATGACAACAACTGCCGTTTGTCGTAAATCAATAGCAAGCTCACTGTCTTGAGGAAGAGTAAGATACCTCAAGAAACTCTCATTGGGGCTCAGAGGGCCAGATAAAAGCTAGATAAGAAAGGCAAATAAGCATATTCAGAAGTGGTGGAAAAAAGGCAAATAACACAATTAGCCTCTAACCATTCTTTACATTTTGCTTTATCTATAAATCTCATTTTGGTCATCACACAATAATCAATAAAGTTGATAATACAGTTATACTGCACATCTATACCTTTATACACTTGCTGTATAAATGCACACAATACTGACTATACATTTATATATTTACTGCACCACATATAAGTTGAACCCTACGTGCAGATTTCACATGGATTACTAATACAGCCAAACCGCCCTACAAGCATGCAGCCTCTAGAACCCCTGCAGGAATGCAGCCTAGTACTCAACTGGGCTTTCAAAACTAAACACAACAAATTCCTCATTTTAATCTCAATGCTACCCTAATTTTATTTGCAAATAAAGTCATAGTTCCAATTCTTTCAAAGGAAAAAATGCCTTATTATCATTTAATAATGCTGAATATTAGATAAATCAGGACAAGGCATGATAATGGAATAGCTACCTATTTCCAAAAAAAGTTGCACAAACAAACATGTACTTGTAAAGAACAGAAGTTCTGGGTTTCTAGCCCAAATCTGCACCCTGCCTTTCCCTCAGCTCAGATTCCTCACCATTAAAGGAGGTGTTGCTGGGACTAACCACAGCAACAACTCAAAGTGATATGCTTCACTTGGTGCCAGGCACACAGGAAGGGCCAAAAGAGTGAGCCTCTATTTCTACATTTTTCTTTTGTGATATTTACTTGCAAAGGTGTTTCAGATTTGATTTTGTACTGAAAATGAAATATGTACTTGCTGATCCATAAATAGCAAAACTCCACCTGGCTTTCCTGGGCAGGAACTAACCTGGTCAAGGAGATGGCCATATGCATGCATTCTTTCAATGTAGACAAAATGAGATTTCCTGTCAGAGCATCTCCTTTTGTCAGTACATGCAGCTCCTCTCCACACTGACCTTAGCTTCAGCTAAATAATGATGCCTCCCTAAATCATCACTGCAAATGCCAACGATGATCTTCTTAAGCTCTGGTACTGAAATAATGTCAGGATTTTATCACTCTTCATTCCTCTACTAATTTATGCCTTCATGGAGATGAACACTTTCCTTGCATTGTTTACTACATCTGCTATAGGTTTCATATGCTTTGAGTATAATCACCATTATAAGTATTAAGGAGGTGAAAACTTAGTCCAACTATGGTGTTCAATTAAGGTGATTAAGGGAAGTGATCAAGATTAAACTCATTTATCTAATCAGATAGTCATTAGGGTAAAGTCCCCATGACTGAACAGTCTTCTCTTATAAGACACCCCAACACACACATACATATACCATCACTGATTCTTGCCAAGAGATGCCCTATGTCACCTTGACACTCTGTCAGTAAGAAAGCCATCACCAGATAGCCCTCAAACTTGTACCTCCAAAACCATGAGCAAAAATAAACCTCATTACTTTAGAAAGGAGCCTGCCTCATGAGTATTTCATTATAGTAATGCAAAACAGATTAATACAGCATCTAAAATTCACTCCACTTTATAGCCCAATATGGCAGCTGCTGGGAACACAGAGGCACTAACCCATGTACACAAAAACTCAGTAACTCTGGTTCAGCAGCTGCACAGTCACCATAACAGTAGACAGATCTCTCTAAAAGTATACTGGATCATGTCAAGACATATTTTTCTTGTTAAATATACACAATTCAAAGACAAGAATGCAGAGTCCAGGACCTGCAGCTGAGACCTGGCTCTAGCCACTCACTGGCACATGAAAGAATCTTACTGGCTTGTGTAATTTTCTACCTCATAAATGTAATGCATACACGACCTCCACACCTTTCCCATCTTTTTCTTTTATTGTTTTATTATTCATATGTACATACAAGGCTTGGGTCATTTCTCCCCCCCTGCCCCCACCCCCTCCCTTACCACCCACTCCGCCCCCCTCCCTCTCCCCCCCACCCCCTCAATACCTGGCAGAAACTATTTTGACCTTATCTCTAATTTTGTTGAAGAGAGAGTATAAGCAATAATAGGAAGGAACAAGTGTTTTTGCTGGTTGAGATAAGGATAGCTATACAGGGAGTTGATTCACATTAATTTCCTATGCGTGTGTGTTACTTTCTAGGTTAATTTTTTTTTTTTAATTCATATGTGCATACAAGGCTTGGGTCATTTCTCCCCCCTGCCCCACCCCCTCCTTACCACCCACTCCACCCCCTCCCTCTCCCCAACCCCTCAATACCCGGCAGAAACTATTTTGCCCTTATTTCTAATTTTGTTGTAGAGAGAGTATAAGCAATAATAGGAAGGAACAAGGGTTTTTGCTGGTTGAGCTAAGGATAGCTATACAGTGAGTTGACTCACATTAATTCCTGTGCATGTATGTTACCTTCTAGCTTAATTCTTTTTGATCTAACCTTTTCTCTAGTTCCTGGTCCCCTTTTCCTATTGGCCTCAGTTGCTTTTAAGGTATCTGCTTTAGTTTCTCTGCGTTGAGGGCAACAAATGCTAGCTAATTTTTTAGGTGTCTTACCTATCCTCACCCCTCCCTTGTGTGCTCTCGCTTTTATCATGTGCTCAAAGTCCAATCCCCTTGTTGTGTTTGCCCTTTATCTAAAGTCCACATATGAGGGAGAACATACGATGTTTGGTCTTTTGGGCCAGGCTAACCTCACTCAGAATGATGTTCTCCAAATCCATCCATTTACCAGCGAATGATAACATTTTGTTCTTCTTCATGGCTGCATAAAATTCCATAGTGTGTAGATACCACATTTTCTTAATCCATTCGTCAGTCACACCTGTCCCATCTGACTTGCTATGGTGATCATTAAATACACACATCCCAGAGACAATCACAGCCATAGACAGTGGTCTTACTTATCAAAGTCTAACTCAATAATACTACTAGAATGAGGAAGTGCTATCTAAACACAAAGTTTCAGGTGATACTTACATGTGTGTCCCCCTCTGTGTGCAAAGTGTCTTTATTACAGATGATGCTCTGGAACCTCTGCAGCAGAGGCAAGAGGGGGGCGCTGGTGCCCTGTGCAGACCGCTCATTGTCAGTTTCCTGTGCCCCACTGTCCCACAGTTGAAGCAACAACAGGATGGCAGACAACATTTGGCTGAAGGAGGAAAGATATCTCTAGTAAAAACAGGTTAGCTTTTCTTTTGCCAAAAGCAAAAAGCAAACAACTAAGTGTAGAAAGACTTTGGATAAAATGGAAATAATTCTTGGCAATAAAATCACCGATTTAATGCCAAAATTTTAACTCAAGACATCTGCTTTCTCATGATAGAAAATATAAAACCAGTTAAGATATTCAAGTAATACTTTCTACAAAGAATTTCTGGTACCTTAAGTTAATGGAATAAGAATGGTTATTTGAGAAAAATGAAATCAACAGTTTAGAAAAACTGTTCTAAAAAAAGAACAGTTCCTAGAAGCTAGACAACTGAAAGTAAAGGAAGTGAAGAAAACATAATTGCACCTTGCTTTAGAAGAAAGTCAGGGCCTGAGACTCGATTCTCTGACTACAGAACAGTTGCTGCACCACAAATGATTCAATGAAATGCTAAACAATGTTAACACGTGTGGAGGCACATGCATTTCCTGAGGCATCTCTGGCCTGGCACAGCTCACCTCAGTGTGCCTCTTTGCACAGCCAGCTCCAGCAGGATGGCCAGGGCCAAATGTTGGTCCTGCAGGGGAACACCTCCTGGCCCTTTGGTCCCTGGTGTTCCGTGAACATCCCTGAAATGATAGCAACAGAGGCAGGAGAAGAAACATCAGAAAAAATAGCACACTTAAAATCACACCAACACCCTAATCATATTCTCTCTTACATAGAAAAGTATATTATATTATTAATATCTAGTTTCTGAGACTTGCTATACAAATTTACTCAGAGATATTAAAGTGTACAATTCGCTTATTGTATGTGTGTGTACACATACAACTATAAATGCATACATGTGGACAGATGTAATATACATGTCTTTGCTGCTAAATTTTGTATTGAAGATATACATTTTCTTTGAATTTAAAAACCATAACAAAATACATAGTACCCAAGAGCAAAGTTCATGTTTTTCCTTACAGATTCACATTCAAAATACAAAAAGTAGTTATGTGCTATAGTTTGGACCCTAAATGTCCCCCACAAAGATCCATGGGACAACCTTTAGGAGGTGGGGCCTAACGAAAGGAAGTTAGGTCATTGAGGGCATGCCCTTTAAGGGGATATTGGGGCCCTGGCCCCTCCTCTTTCTCTTTTTGTTTCCCAGATGCTGTAAGGTGAACAGGCATCTTCTACCAACTGCTCCAAGATGTAATGTGTTGCCAAAGCAACAGGGCCAAGTGACAATGGACTAAAACCTGTGAAACCATCAGCCTAAAGCTTTTCTCCATTAAGTGCATTATCTCAGGTGTTTTGTCACAGTAAGCCAAAGCTAATGCAACACAGATTTACACTTGTGGGTTTTTTGGTGGGGGCAAGTGCTAGAGCCTGGTACATGGTAAGCAAACACTCAACCACTAAGCTACACCCTCAGCCTCAGTTTAAATATTTTGCTTGAGTAACTGTTTTTTCCTATGTTATTACCTATCAAGATTTCAAACCAAGCACCATCCATCCCTCAAAACAGTGGCTCCTCATTATCTCTAAGGAGTACACAAAGTGCTCACTCTAGGACTGATGGACCATTACATCAATAAATATCTAAAAAAACAGTAAGCTATACACAATTTGACATTTTCCATCACATTCAATATGATGGCTTCCTAAGTCAAATCTGAATATCCTAAGTCAAGTCATCTGAAAAGGTAAGAACCAAGACTTGGAACCATAGAGCTGAAACACATCCACTAGGTTTCACAAGTGAAAACAAAAGAAGGTAAGAATGAGACTAAAGCACATTTGAAGAGTTATGCAGGAAGGCATGAAAAGAGAGAACTCACCCTGTCACAACAGATCTGAGGAACCTGGTTGCTCTCTCTACCACCTCCAACCATACAGAAGATACTGTGCTCTCGTCAAAGAGTGAAGCCTCTGGAAGAGCTCGCAGGGCATCCAGAGACTCCTGCAAAAGTTCGCTGCAGAGGTCCGCATCCTCACCTGAGGACACACATGTGTCAGAAGGGGCTGTGCCAGTCAGCAATGACAAAGTAGAGTAACCCTCACTTTCCAGATGAGCCTCCCACCCCTTGGGTAAGAAGATGTCACTGTCACCTCTTCAATCTCTTGTTAAACAGACCAAAATCTAACATAACTGTTTCCAGGTCAATTGTGTATCTGATGGCTTTCAAACTGCGTATCCCTTATCTAAAATGCTTGGGACCAGAAGTGTTTTGGATTTTAGGAATTTTTGGATTTTAGAATATTTGCATATATGTAATGAGACATCCTAAGGTATCACAGATACCTTATAAAATGTGAAGGTAATTTTATGCAGTATTTTTTAGTGTACCTGGACTCTATGACCTATCACATGAGGTCATATGAAATTTTCCACTATGGCATCAAATCAATGGTCAAAAAGAAGGTAAGTAAGGTTGATGTACTTCCTATACAGAGTGAATATAGAATTTTAAATCTGTTGAAATCACCACAAGAAGGGGATTAAGGTAGAAAGAAGAACAGAGGGGATAAACCAATTTGGTTATAATACATATATACGTGGAAATACCACAAGGAAACTCCCTGTATATCTATCCTAAACAAACAAAAATGTCATTTTGTTGTTGTTCTCACAAAATCAGAGAACAGAAGGGCAAAACAGGTTCTGTCTGGTGGGGAAGGTATCAGTGGGAAGGGGGAGAATAGGGGAAAAGGTGTGGGAGGGTGAATATGGCACAAATACTTTGTACACATGTATGTAAATGGAAAAATAAGACCTACTGAAATTATTCCAGGAATGGGGCAAGAGGGGATAAAGGAGAATAATGGAAGGGGTGAATTCAATTAGGATATATTTGATATATTGTAAGAACTTTTGTAAATGTCACAATGCTCAATTATATGTGATATATTGTAACTTTTGTACCCCCCGCACAACAATAACATAAACAAATGAACAGATAAATGACATTAAAAACTGAAACAAAATAAAAAGATTCGGACTTTAGACCATTTCAATTTCATATTTTCAGATTAGGGATACTCAACCTGAAATAACTTGTTCTTCTAGAAATAAACAGGTAATGAGACATTCTACAGTGATGGTTTAATGGTGGTACCAAACATGAAACTCAGCACATTACAAATGCTAGGCAAGCACTCTACCACTTGAACCACACCACCAAACCCACATAGACCTGAAAAGTCAGACTTTGCAGCCTCTCATTTCACAAACAAAGAAAGTAAGGCACAGAGAATATATGGGATCAGCCCATGGACCCATAGTAACAAAACCAAAACTATGGAGCCCAAATCTCCTGATATATCAGGGAAATACAGCAGCATGTTGGGCACACATACCTGACCGCCAGGCCCGACGTAAGAAAGCAAAGGCAAAGGAGAGTGCTGCTCGGGATCCAACTCTGGCAAGTCCTTCCACCCCTCTGCCTGTGGGCCGAGAACTGCAGATACACATACAGGGTGCAGTAATTGGTCAGAGGAATGCAAACATGCTAAATTAAAATACATAATTTGAGGAATTTGGATCACATTGTGATCAATGGTTTTCTTTAGATAGCAGGACCATAGGTGATTTTTAGATTCATTTTTTATATTTAATATAACTTTTATCAATTATCCTTTGTAAAGGAAACATTGTCTCTTTCAGAAAAACAAGAGACATTCACAAAGACTGTTAAAGGACTTGGAAAATGATGAAATAACTTCAAGGATCTGTATTCTAGTTGGGAAAGGCCGACAATAAACAGATAAATATATAAGCCTCACGTAGAAAAGAAAAGCCAGTGGGGAAAGAGAAAAGCACACAGAGAACACCACAACTAACACCAGGGCCCACTAACAGCTTAGCTGTTTCTACATCTACTGTTGGGGTTTCAGGCCTACATGCTAGATGATCAAAAGCACCCTGTCCTTGTCCTACTCCCTTTGCCCCACTCTGCTTAGTTACCCTCTCTTGGATGTAATGCTTAATCATCCTCAGGGATCTTCTTAAGATTTTTACTACTTGTAAATGTAAACTTAAGGCAGGTGTGGTGGCACACAACTGTAATTCCAGCACTTGGGAATTACTGAACCAGGAGGATGACAAAGATCATGGCCAGTCTGGACTACACCGTGAGTTCCAGGCCAGTCTCAGCTATATAATGAGACCCTATCTCAAGAAACAACAAAAAATAAATGTTAATTTAATAAGTCGTGGTCTTCCTTTGTATGTTGTAAGTTACATAAATGACATACATAAAAATCACACTACATGCCAGGCATGGTGGCATACATCTGTAATCCCAGCTACTTGAGAGGCAGAAGCAGGAGGATTGAGATGGAGGCCAGCCCAGAAAATTTTAGGGAAACCTTGTCTCAAAAACAAAAGGTGTGGGGACATGGCTCAAGTGGTAGACTGCTCATCTAGCATGTGCAATGCCCTGAGTTCAATCCTCAGTACAGCAAAAAAGGAAGGAGGGAGGCAGGGAGGGATAGAGCTTCTTGGGAGGCAGAAGCAGGAGGATCAGAGATAGAGACCAGCCCAGAAAAATTTAGGGAAAACTTACCTGAAAAACAAAATACAAAACAAAAGGTCTAGGGGCATGGCTCAAGAGGTAGACCACTTGCCTAGCATGGGCAATGCCCTGGGTTTAATCCGGAGTATAGAAAGAAAAAAAAAAAAGAAGGGAAGAAGGAGAATACAAAAATGCATGCAGAGTATAAGCTTAATCATACCTAGCTAGATGATTTTACCTTCTACTTTGCTACATAGTACTTCAAACACACACACCCCCATACTGTACAGTGTTTTTAATATAGTATTTCTAGTACACACTATATTCATAATTAGGGGAAATACTACTAAAAACAGGTAATGACACGGAAAGATGATTCAAGATACAAGGCCACATTACATTAGAAGTAGAGACATAGGGATCCAGAGGGGTTGCAGCAGGAGGGATATATACAGTTATCTATGAGGGTCTGAATAGCGCATGGGAGCTCTATGAGAAAACACAACAACTAGTTGCTACTACCTGTGAGTAGGGTACTGGGTTCCCAGGAGACAGAAATGTATTTCTGAATGAGAAATATGATTACAAAATATGGACACATCATAGGAATTGCAGTTCTAAAATATAGACCACATGTACTAAGTGTGGTCAGGGGAGTTTGGAGGACCACCACAGACATTTGCCGTTGGAGACAGCTAGTTAACTGTAAACATGAAACTGGGATCCCTTCAGATAGTCAGGACCTTGTCCCTGGAGAAAGAACCCTGAGCCTGCATGGTGTAAGAATGCTTAAGTAGCCATTTTACAAAAGTTGAAGGGGGAGGGGGGGAAAAAAACTAGAAATGGCTGAGAACCATCCTCACCCACATGAAATAAAATACACCACTATCCAATAAGGTGAAAAAATGTAAAATATACCACTATCCAATAAGGTGAAAAATGAAGAAATCTATAAAAATTTAGAAGGGATTAGCACATAGCTGCCATAATAAAAGTGAAAACATCAAATGCTGACAAGGATATAGGGAAACTGTATCACTCATACCTGGCTACTGAGAATATAAAATGGAAGAGTGACTGTGAAAAAAGTGGTATTCTTCATGTTACTGTCATGATCAACAACTGCCCTCTTGGGCATTTATCCCAGAGATGGAACTTATGATCACGCAAAAACCTGTAACACGAACATTCATAGTAGTTTTATTTATAATATCCCCAAATTGAAAACAACTCAGATAAACTGTAGTACACTCATACCATGAACCACTATTCAGCAATCATGATGTAGGTAACAAATCAGAAGACTCTCAAGGGAATTACACCAAGTGAAAAGAGCCAATCTCAAAAACTTAGAGATCAGTGGCTGCCAGGGGTTACAGTAGAGGGAGGGGAAAAAAACGTGGTGTGCATATAAGAGATCTTGTCTCTGGAAAAAGAGCCCTTTGAGCCCAAACCTTCATAATATTAAAACCACTTATCCTATATCATTACCTGATTTTTGTTTATTTTTTTGGTGCATATAAAAGGGGTCCTTGCCTGTGTAAACTAGATGTAATAAGTAGCCTTACACATATCTATACTTGTAATCAGGGCCTGACACTTACTAGGGAGGTACTCTACCACTTGAGCCACGCACCCAGTCTGAGTCTTCTTTTCTTTCCTGACAGAGGATAAATAGCCAGCATTGATGGTCACTGATAGAGGACTCTGCATATGTGAGCAGTACATGCTAAGATTCTCTAAGCACTTGTCAAATCAAACTGAATTCCCTACAATGCAGAAGTGGCTTGCATGCCCATCTGAATTTTTTTCCTCTTTGGGGGTACAGGACAGGAAAGGGTGGGACTGGGATTTGAACTCAGGGCTTCATGCTTATAAAGCAGGTACTCTACCGCTTCAGTCACACCTCCAGTCCATTTTGCTCTTGTTATTTTAGAGATGGAGTCTCATAAGCTATTTGCCCAGGCTGGCCTCAAACCATAGTCCTCTTGATCTCAGCCTCCTAAGTAGCCAGGATTACAGGCATGAGCCACCAGCACCCAGCTTTGCCCATCTGACTTTTCTGTGTGCCCTTTCCTTTGTGATGACATACTGATGAATTGATCGGAATATCTCTTTCATTAAATGGAGGAAATTTTTTTAATTATCATATTATTGTTGTACTGGGGGTACAATGTGGCATTTACAAAAGTTCTTACAATATATCACAGTTGAATTCACCCCCTCCATCCTTCTCCTTTATCCCTCCTTCCCTCCATTCCTGGAATAGTTTCAGTATGTCTCATTTTTTCCATTTTCATACATGAGTACATATTATTTCTACCACATTCACCCTCCTACGCCTTTTCCCTATATTCTCACCCCTCCCACCGGAGCCAACCCAAATGGAGAAATTTCTAATAAAAATTTTATTTTCAAATAATTGTGACGTCACATGCAGTTTTAAGAAATAGTACAGAGAGACTTTGTACTTTGCATTAATTTTCCCCCAATGGAATCCATTTGAAAACTATCACATAATTTTACAGTAAGGACATGACACAGTCTTTCTTGGGCTTCTTCAGTTTTACATGCTTTCAATTATATGTGTGGTTTTCTTTGCATTAAAAGTTATATGTGCTGCCAGGTGCAATGGCTAATACCTGTAATCCTAGCTACACAGAAGGCAGATATCAAGAAGATCATAGTTTGAGGCCAGCTTGGGCAAAAAGTCAGCAAGACCCCACCTCAACCAATAAAAAGCTGGGTGCAGTGGGGCGCACCTGTCATCCTAACTACACAGTAAGTGTAAATAGGAGTGTCACAGTTCAGACAGGCCCGGGCATAAATGCAGACCCTATTTGAAAAATAATGAAACAAAAAGGGATGGGGGCAAGGTTCAAGTAGTAGAGTGCCTACCAAGCAAGCACAAGGCCCTGAGTTCAACCCCCAATACTGCCATAAATAAATAATAAAATAAAGTGTACCACTAGCTACCTGCTCAGTTATTCTGAAACTATACTCAAAATATGACATGCAATATGATTTCAACTAGATTTAAAAAGAAAATATACTATTCTTCATTCCAGTGACAAGATGAGCGGAGGTTTTCCAAACCTTCTTTTGCATCCTATACAAGCTTCTCATATGCTCTCCAGATAGTAAGAGTCACTATCACAATCAAATTTAAAAATAAGACAAAAAACTCCTAACCTCCACTTGGCAACCTACCCTTCTGACAACAAAGTTGGTAGACAGCTACTTTTTGGAAAAAATGCAATTTTACATGAGCCTTAAACATTCTAGTAATAGAATGGTTAGTTAATACCTCAGAGGAAGGAAATCTTATGTATTACTAGATATTAATAAATTAAAAATCATATGCCTGGATACTCAGTGGTAGAACTTGAATCCCAGCACCAAAAAAAAGAACAATCATGCCTGAAAGTAGCTCTTATAATAAAAGAGTAAGAAAATCATATTAGAAAGGAAAAAATGAAGCATCCAAATTAGTTAGGCACTAACCATTACACTCCAACTATTCCCTAGAAAACAAAAAGAATACAATGCTTGAGATTCCATTTCCAAATCTAGGCACGAGATAATCTAAACCTCTGACTAGCTTCTACAGTTAACTAACAGACAATGGTTTTTAAAATAATGCAACATGGTCTGCTACTCCATGAGAATATTAACAAATCCATTGCCCAGAGTATATAAAATACACAAACAGGGAAAACAAGAATAAAATTTTACAAGCTAAAGAAAGAAACTATACTAAAAACATTAAAATCTCTTAAACAAAAGAATCTGAATTTTTTTTTTTTTTTGGCAGTACTGGGGTTTGAACTCAGTGCTTCACACTTGCTAGGCAGGCATTCTACTACCTGAGCCATGCCCTCAACCCTTTTTGTTTTAGTTTATCTTTCAGACAGGGTCTTGCACTTTTTGCCCAGGGTCAACCTCTAACCACCTTCCTCCTATCTCCTCTTGTGTAGCTCAGATTATAGACATGAGCCACCATGCCCAGGAAAAGCCAGAATTTTACAAAGAGCCAACAAACACGATTCTTTCTTCATTTTATTATTACCTTTTTTTGTCCACAGGAGGCAGAGAAATGTTGCTGCTTTTCCACTTAACTTTGACATTCTCTTGAAAAACAGTTCTATTCAAGGCAATGAAATAGCGTTCTAGGATCACCAGTCTCTGCTTGAGTCTCAGGGCTGAGAGGGTGGTAGTGGCTGACTGGATAGCTAGGGCTTGCTGCTCTTTAACCAGCACAGAAAGACATTCCTTCAGCTCATTCACATCTAGAAAACAAGGTAAGAAAACATCCCAGCTGTAAATACCTTGGGCATGATTTGCTGTAATGCTGAGAAACTGGATAAAGATGATAGGTAATGCTCGAGTGCATAATACATACCCAGTTTTAAACACCTTGCTCAGGAAATAGTAACACCCAGAATCAGGAGGTAGTACTGTATATCCAAATTTATGAATGAGGACATTTAGGCACAGAGGGGTTATGTGCCTAACTAAGCACATAACCCAAGGTCACACAGAGATGTATAGCTTTAACACAAACCCCTCTTAGCTGTCATAGTATGCTGCCTATCTAAATATCATATAAAAGTTGTTAATAGCTGGGGGTGTAGCTCGGGGGTAAGGAACTTGCCTAGCATGCACATGGCCTTGGATTCAATCTCTTGCAGCACAAAAATAAATGAACGAATGAATGGATGAACAAACTAAACAGTAAAGCCAAAAATTCTCACTAGTACATTTACTAGGCAGAAAACCTCTAGTCATCATTTTGTTATGAATCTACATTCAAAATGTAAAAATGTTTCAATAAAATTACCCAGCATGCACAATTCATGAAAGGCAATACATTTATGGGAATATTTTAGAAAAAGATAAAGTAATCAGAATGTATGATGAGTAAGTGATATTTCATTAGACTATTCTATTTACATTAGTGTATATTTGAAAAATTCCATAGTAAGGATTATGTTTTAAATAACTGTAAGACAACAGCATGTTTTAAAATAATTCAAAGGATTCTGATATAGCAATTAAGCATAAGTTACCTAAGAATATAAATAATTATAGTTGAATTGTAAATTAAGTTTCCTATTACACTAGAAGTGCTCCCAGATAGAGTAGGGCTCTCCTGTGCATATGTTCTGTCTCTAACGCTTATTAGTGATGAGGACAACAAATAAACAATATGTTATTTATAACCAGCACAAAGGAATATTATTTAGCCTTCAAAAGGAAATTCTAACACAGGCCAAAACATGGATGACTCCTGAAGATGTGCTATGTGAAATTACCCAGACACAAAGAGACAAATACTGCATGATTCCACTTACGTGAGGTACTTAGAATAGTTGACTGCATGTAAACAAAAGTAGAGTGGTGGCAGACTGGGCTGGAGGACCTAATGGGTAGTTTCAGTTCTGTCAGGTGAAAAAGAGTTCTAGGGAAGAATGGTGATGGTGCTGTACCACAGTATTAATGTATCTAATGTCAATGAACCATACACTTAAAAACGGTTATAATGGCAAGTTTTATGATATACTTACCATAATACAAAAAGACTTTCAATTTTAGAAAATTCCATTAACAATCAAAAAAGTCCATCTATGGTAGTCAAAAAAGGAATGCCAGATCAAGCTTCCAAAGTTATAAAACCTTAGAAGATTATAATACCTGGTTGCTTGCCCCATACCCAGCTCTCCAGGATTGATTTGGCCCTAAATGTAGGTGCAGGGGTTTCTTCTTCATCCTTTTTCTCTTTCTCATTCAGATCTTCTTTCTTGGTTCCACTTTGAATATCAACACCATCATCTGGAGAATTAAAAATGTTTAAATCTGTAATTGCTTTTCAAAATGGAATTGTGAAACATTTTCAAACATTTGTCAATTTCTTTGCAAATGTTCCTCCCAGAAATGAACTTATATCATCAACTACATGTTTGATCATTTTTTAAATGCACGAATTATGGTTGTAACAAATTCAGTATGATTTATTTAGTAATGAATGAATATGTCAGCTTATTAAATGGGCCACTATAAACTGGGTGTGGTGACGGTATCTGTAATCCCAGCCACACAGGTGGTATAGGCAGGATCATGATTTAAGGCTGGCCTTGGGCAAAAATGTGAAACTCTGTAGGAAAAGTAACTAAACAAAAAAGGGCTTAAGGCATAATTCAAGTTATAAGAGTGCCTGCCTACCAAGCGCAAGTCCCTGAGTTCAAAGCCCAATGCTGCCAAATAAAAAGGGAGGTGAGGGAGCACAAAGAAACTATTATATGATTCAAAGTCTTCAAAATATGTCTTATAAAACATTTCATTTCCTACTAGATTTCACAACTAAGAAAGTTAGTTTTCAATACTTACCTACTTGAACTTCACACTAATTATTTTAATCCAGTGATTCCCAATTGCCGTGTGTCCATGGGAAAAAGGAGAATATGGAATATGAGATGATTCGAAGTTAATTCTTTTAATTATATAATGCGTTCCTCTACTGATGACTGAGAAATGCTAATACACAGGGCCACTACCACTGACAGAATATAATTCAGGAGAACTGAGACAAAAGAAAAGTTGAGAACAATACCTAAGGCTGTGGAGAGTGGATTATGAAAAGCCTATGAGAACTGAACATAAGCAAGGCGAGATGCAGCTTAATTGCTTTTATCTGTAGACCAAGATAGGCACAGCCCCAGCCAGCAAACACAGAAAAGCAGAACAGCTGCATCTCCTAAGTTGTTTATGGTCACAGAAGCAGGAATGCAGGTTTCTCCTGTTACAATCATCATGCCTCCAGGAGAACCACTGCTCCACCACCCTGTTTACACTGGGTATAAAAGACCCCCTGAAGGAGGAAGAGGGGCTTTTTACTTTGGGCTTTTGCTTTGAGATGTGAGGCTTTTGCCTTTGGCTTTTGGCTTTTTAGTGTGGGAAGCTTTTGGAAGGGAAAAGAATTGCTGGAGGAGAATTGCTCACTGGTTGACAGAAAGTCTGCACCAAGAACTTTAACACAGGTCTTAGAAAAGCTAAGCTAAAGAAAGAACTTTAACATAGGCCTTAAAATAGCTAAGCTAAAGAAAAGCCAGAAATAACATGGGACAGTATAAGACAGAGGACCAAGACTTTATGCATACACAGTTTTTAGGCACGGCTATTTGCAAGTCTGAGCACTGAGGCTTCGAGTAAGCTAAAGAGAGATGGGAACATGCAAGCTTGGGGGCAAAAGACTTTAAGAGAGATTAACAGCTAAGAGAAAACATGGGACAGGGTGGGTCTAAAAAAGAGGTTTTAAGCAAAGTTTTAAAGAAGCAAGGTTTTAAAGAACTGCAAGGAATAAGGCCTTAAAGAATAAAGATAGAGAAAACAAGCAATGAGGGTGTGCATCTCCACCTGAGTCCTCAACACACCTGATCACACTTTCTGTCTCTCTATCCTGTGTCTTTTCTGAATCTCCAGTAACCCCAGTTAGCCCCAGTTAGGTTTAGTAATAACCAGTAGTGAGAGAAATCTGGCTCCAACAAGAGAGGGAGAAAAAACAAAAGCTCCCTCCATCAGGCCAAAAACAACTGCTATGACTTCCAAAGTAGAACCCCAACAGCTCAGCAATTAAGAGAAAGGTTTGACAAATGGGACTGCATCAAACTAAAAAGATCCTGCACAGAAAAAGAAAGTCACCAGACTGAACAGACATCCTACAGAACAGAAGAAAACCTTTGCTGCCTATACATCTGACAAGGGACCAAATCAGAATGTAGAGGCAACTCAAAAAACTAAACTCCCAAAGACAAAACAACCCAATAAAGAAATGGGTAAACCAAGTGAATAGACAATTTTCAAAGGAAAAAGTACAAATAGCCAATACATACATTAAAAAAATACTCAACATCCCTGACCATAAAGGAAATGCAAATCAAAACTTCATTAAGATTCCACCTCAATCCAGTTAGAAAAGCTATTGTCAAGAACACAAACAACAGCTGGGCACCAGTGGCTCACGCTTGTAATCCTAGCCCAGATTCCCTACTACTGATGAATGGGTTAAGAAAATGTGGCATATACATACAGTAGAATATTATTCAGCCATGAAGAAGAATGAAATTATACCATTTGCAGTAAATAGATGGAACTGGAAATCATCATGGGAAGTGAAGTAAGCCAGATTCAGAAAGACAAAGGTTGCATGCTTCTGCTCATAGAAGATCATTTCAAACAATGAATGTACATACAAACACAAACATGACCATATATACATATACATAGAGAACACGTTTGCAATAATAGGACTGTTTGAGATTCAGGGGAGAAGGAAAAGGAAAAGAGAGTGAACAATAAATACCAAAATACATCACATCTGTGTAGAAAGATTCCATAATGAAACACACTGAAAGTTGTTGAATAACAGGGGTTAGGAAAGAAAGGATAAAGGAGAGTAATAAAGGGGTTAATCTGATTAAAGTTCAGCATATTCACAGGGGAAGTACCATGGTGGAACCCCTTTAAACAATGAATATACACTTAAGGACAGGATTATTAAGTAGGTACTGTTAGGGAGTAACTACTAGTAGAAGGGAAGAGGATGAATGGTAAAGGAGTGTGACTATGATTGATATACTTTATATACTTCCATAGAAATAAAATTATTTCAACAGGTTTCATTCTAAGTAGGGGGGAAAGGATGAGGGAGCGTGATGGTGAGAGTGAAAATAACAAAGGTACATTGCAAGCATATATGGAAAAGTCACAATGAAACTCCATTGTACAACTAATAAAAATGTTAAACTAAAGAAAAAAAAGCTGCCATGAAACTCGGTACATAACTAAAGAGAAGATGGAATGAATATTAACCCTGAAATGTAAATAAGTCCTATTATAAAAGGTTCTTACTAAAATAGTATTTTATGTGATTATTAGTAATCATATTGAGGCAGAATAGACGAGGAGACAGGGAAATTATACTATTTTAATAAATATTTAAAGAGACAGACTTGGACATTGAACAAGAAAGTAAAAACTGAAAAGCCACAGCTGCTAGTCACCTCCCATCTCCTTTTAGATGTTAAATTACAGAAACAGGGGCTGCCTGCAAGTGCCTTCCTCTTTGAGATGCTAACAAGCTGCAAGAAGCCTTAAATAGGAAGAGATTAACACTAAAAATAAAATAGAACAATTATAAAATATACTTTAATAAAAGTTATGTGAAAGTGGTCTCTCCCTCTCAAGTATCTTCTTATACTATTCTCACCCTTCTTTTGATGATGTGGGAGGATCCATGATGAGATGAAAGTGAGAAGGATGACATAAACACGTGTGGTAGTGTTAGGCCACTACATATGACATACTTGAACTCAAGCCGAAGGACAACAGATAATCTGATAACTGGATGAGCTGACAGGCGGTTACTAGGTAAGTAATAGGTAGTTGCACCTGACAAAGGGATGATTTATATCCAGGGTTGGACTACACAATATTTCATCCTGTTACTCAAAACAACACCCAATTTAAAAGTTACAAATGTTTTATTTCTAGAATTTTCCATTTTATATTTTAGGAAGGAAGTTAACAACAGGCAACCAAAACCTTGGAAAGCAGACTACTGCAATGACTCACAAAAACAGGGCAACACTTTACTGTTATGAGTTTACTATAAAACACACTGTAAAGGATACAAACGAAGACCTACATGAAAAGGTTGGAAGGGTCCCCATCTCAGGAGCTTCTGTCCCCACAGACTTGGGGTGTACCACCCTTCCAGCCATCTCACTGCAAAGACTCCAAGTGTTTCAGAATCTCTTTAGGATAGGGACTAAAATCAAATATTCTGACAAAAGATGTTTCTATCATCCCATCACTCAGGAAATTATGAGGGTTTCAGGAGGTCTGTGCCAGACTGGAAACAGAGACCAAATACTGTATCACAATATCTAAATCCAACAAGAAGCAAACATATTCAAGAAATTCTTGCATTCTATCAGCAAAATGCCATGCATCCAATAGAAACATAGGGAAATCACTAGATACAACCCCATATAGCTAATGCTATGAAAAAACTCTCAAACTCTTGTTTTTAGAAAATACAAATTAAAGGATGGTAGAGTGGCTCAAGTGGTAGAGTGACTGCCTAGCAAACATGAGGCCCTGAACTCAAACCTCAGTGCCACCCCCCAAAAAAATACAAATGAAAACAATGATATGTATTACCATACACTTATCAAATTGGTAAATAATAGAAAGCTAGAAATTTTTTTCACTTTTTCTTTTTTTTTTCCTGTCTTTTAATATTTTATTCAAAAGACTTGTTTCAAACATCTGTAAAACATCCACCAACTTTTCACATTATAAATTTAACTTCTCTGAGTGGCAGAAGAAAAGAACATGCAAGAGGATGTGTACAGTACATCTCAGGGTAGGAGACCAAACACTCGGCACAAAACAAACACATGCATCTAACTCATCAGGCATGTCTGATTTATTTTCTTTTAGGTAATGTTTTTTGGAAAATTACATTTTCAAAGAATCAGCCCTTACAAACAGATAATCTTTCCAAAAATAAAATCCAGTATCCTAGACTCCCAAAACTTACACAGGCAGATGGAAATGTCTGATGGTCGGCCAGGAGTGTCATGCTCAAGCAAGTTTCACGTCACAAACGGTCAGCTACAGCTAATTTCAGCAGCAAATCCAAGCCCTACAGAGCACTACAGACCACAGGTGTTGCTCTCGGCTGGGCTGACAATTGTGTTATTGCTAAAGTATACATGTTTTCTTTGGCAACTTTATCAATTTAACACCACAGGACAACTATAAAGGTT